ACTTATAAAAGTTAAGCAAACAAAAAACTTATGATGAAAGCAGTTTCATCTGCAACTCGATCTGAAAATCCATCTTCCGTTCCTGGTTTTGCGTGACAACGTCGCGCAGCTACGTACTTATTTTATAAACGGAGGGTCAAGTGTCAGTCGGCCTAAATTAGAGTTAGAGTTAGGTTATAGTTTAGGTCAATCAATGTCGATCCGTTAATGCCGGCCAAACAGTCAATACCGGCAAAAATCGATTTGAGGCACAACATATATGCACTTTTAAACGATTATATAGATGTAAATTTTATTTTTTATTACTTTGCTTTTTTTTCTTTATTAAAAAAGATGCCAGTGTAATAGGCGTTCAAAACTAATGTATTTTTTTTTATGTCTATAACATGGAGTTGTATGCAATACTTTCCTATTGAAATCCAAAAAATTATTAACTATCACATTATATGAAGTATAAAATGTCTTCTTTTTTTTTTTTTTTTTTTACTTAGAACAAGAAAGCAGCAGCACCAGCCACCATAAGAACTCCCAAACTCACTCCTCCAGAAATACGATTTGCACTAGATTGTGTGGTGGTGTTACCAGCACTTGTAGCACCTGTCACACTTATTGTACCAAACATACCCTTTGCGCAGTGCATACCTACACCACAATAATACCAGATTTTAGGATTTTTACCATCAATTACGTATGTTACAGAGCCACTACTTTTTGCTTCAGAGATAGCTAAAATAAAATAAAATGAATGAAACAGGTTGATAAGTATGAAAAAAAATAATATAAAATAAGAGGAATAAATAAAGATAATTACTAGCACTGCCGCCTTGAATCTTAGTTGATGGGGTACAAGAACCAACGGAATCAGCAAGCATAACAGAATGCTGTCCACCCGCCCAAACGAAATTGATCTACAATAAACAAATGAAAGAGTCAATAAAATTAATAAACAACAATATTTGCCGAGAAAAAAAGAAAATAATAATAATGATAATTACCGTGTCGCCTACATTAGCAGTAAAGTTAGCTGGGCTAAAAGTTAATTCGCCATTAGGACCGCCTACAGTAACGTTCATAGTCACAGCAGAAGCGACAGAAAGAAAGACCAAGAACACGGCAAAACATAACAAATTAAATCGAGGCATTTTCGAAGTGTGATAAGTATGTGGGATCTATAAATTTCTAAATAAATCGTATTTGTTTGAGTCTAAACCTGTTTAGACTATGAGATTGTACTAAAAGGAGATTATTTGAGAAAATGATGAAAAAACTTGAATGAGTTTTGAGAGGGTTTTTATACATGATTTTTTGTTACAAGAATTAAGGAATCAAAGGATTGTTGGATTTGATTGTCACCGGTTATTACCAAAAAAAGATTGGCATTTGCATTAAGTTTTTTTGTATAAATGAAGCTTGTTTGAGGAGACAAGAGCTATTTTGGCCAGTCGAGGGTTAAGGATCGATGGGTATGTACGAACATCGGTACACAGATAGCATTTCGCTAAAGAAATTCATCGGAAACACACATTAAGACATTAAGAAAAAGGCAAATGAACTTTTTCTGGAATAAAGAAATTAAATTATGCGAAGTAAACAAATAAGGGATAGCGAATTAGAGACATAACTAATAATCGGAATAACATAATCAGATTATTTTGGTTTAAATGAAACAATAAACTCCTTGTTTATTTACGAACAAGGGATGATTGACGAATTTCATTAAGTTTTATCAAGGGGAGCAATACAGTTTGAAGGATTCATGTGCTGCATACATTCAATAACGTGTAAATTAACGTTAGCGATGTTACCAAAAAAAAAATAATAATAATTAAATATTTATTGCATGTTTTATCGGTATTACTCCGAAACCATGTGTGACTAATTATCACATTACCACACGGTTTTAAATAAAGTTTATGCTATATTGTTCATGATTTCTAATAATGGTAAAGAATTTGAAACAGGGGTAAATTTTATATTGCAATTAAAACATTGGTGTAATCGGTAAAACACATAAGCGAATTAACTACATAGATAATAGTTAGAATCGATCGGTGAATGACAAAACCCGCCCTTTTTGCGTATGGCTAACTTCTTCGTATGTGACCACTAGTAGCCACTACAAATCACTAGTCAAATATTTTGCTTATTTTTATTATTATTATTGGATAACCTGATCATACGACAATAAATATCATATCAGATGCGATTATTCATTAATGACGTTTGTTCCTTTTTATTCTCTAATTGTTAACATAATTGGTTAATATTGTAGTTCTGTCGGTCATGCAAATTATTATAATTTCTAATTCTCTTGATTCTCTTCATTAAAGGATCATGAATACGTTGTATAATTAACTAATAATGGACAACATATTCATACTAAATAACTAAGGCTTGGTTCCAAGAAAAATCTGTCAATATTAATGTTGTACTAGTGATGGAATTAAGAATAACATTATATGATTCGTATATTCAATAAGGGGATATTCATGCAATCTTATGCTTTAAAAAATGTTTATACAATACGTATCAAATTATGCTCTGAATCGAATCATGTTTTATTATGCTCAAATTATGCTTTGTTATGCCTTGTTATGCTATTGGCGATTGGACCCTTGCCAACCGGGTCACCCGGATGGTATGCTACGGGTCACGCGGGTGGGTCATCCAGTCATTATTCTTGGTACACCTTGTGAAAAATTAACCGAGCGATTATTCTGCTGATTCGATAAGTTATCGATTTCGGCATGACCAATTTAATATATAGTTATTGGATGCGAAGCAGCCAATAACGGAAATTATTTGTAAAATAATTTATTATCTGGCTGTTAAGTTTAATATGCCAGAAATGACATTAAATTCACAGCCAGATAAACTGAGTAGCATTCAATAATTATATATTATTTGGTCTAAAACCTGTACATAGATGCAGTGACTATTATCAATCGATAATGACCAGATAACCAATATCGATATAACTCCAGTTAAGTATTATATTCAGTCGAAAAAAATTTAGGAGGGTTATAAATTCGAACAACTGCTAAACACTTAGGTGTTAGCAGATCTTCAATAAGTCAAGTTTTCAACCAATAGAAGGTTACAAAGAAACGTGCGGGAATCTAATTTTGATGCCGTATTTATTTACAAATAAGCGATGTATCAACTTTATTTAAATTCCCGATAAATTTGAAATGATGAGTTTTATTCGTTGAAAAGTCGTTAAATGGGGATCTTCAGATTTCATTTTCCGATTTTAAAAATTTTCAAACTCTCATTTAATTTCAAAATGCGCCACTCATTTGCTAACTTTGAAAATGCGTTGAAAGACTTCTGCCACTTGTAAAAAATCACGTCTATTAACCTGAATGATATAAAATATCTTAAGACTTTAATAGAAGAAAAGCCTAACTAATATTTGTATGAGTTACGATTAGAAATGGAACTTTAGTTAGAACGTGAAAGTAGAGATCATTTAAAGCCTTGTAGTGTCACGTGAGTTTTAATTTATAAATCGATTAGCACCTTCGTACGTACCAGACTTTAGGCTATCTTCGTAAATAATAAACATTACATTGATCATGTCGAAATCAATAATTTATCGAATCGGCAGAATAACCATTCGGTTAATTTCTCATAAGGTGACCCAGGAATAATGATAACAGCTATAAGAGAAATTCTGCTATGGGTTACCGTAAGTAGGTTACCTCAATCGTCTGAATCGTAGAATGAATCATGCGCATATATATAGCGTTTTGTCACATCTAAAAATCAGTTACTCGGGTGAAAGTCAGGTCAGTTTAAACAGTTTAAAAAGTCTCCTACGGATCAGTTTAAAAAAACTTTCTATAATCTATATGCGCATATTAGCTTGTTAGTGATTACTTCGTTTTTATGTACATGGTTATTTCAATAATTAAATACACTAATGATTTGAAGTAATTCAAGGCTATGATTATTATCATTATACTAATGATTTCGCTGACATTTATTTATTTATTCGCATTATTTAATCCGTGAGCATAAAAGCATTTATCAATAAACATTTAAAATAAACTGTCAAGTCATGAATATTTATTATTTAATTTCATTTTCGTTAGTTATCAGCGAGCAAAAATTATTTGTATTTATTGCGCTTTACAAGATTCTGTACTTCCCTTGATTACTAAGATTTATCAAATGTTCATGATTTATACTTGCTGGCAAAATCCCAAACCCCCAAAAAACCTATTGCTTTATAAAAAATTAAATCAATAAAATGTAATTTTAATATTTGTAAATATATTATATATATTATATATAGCTATAAGAACATATATTATTTGTTTAAATAATAAAATTTTTGAAATATTAGTTTGGGCTTGAGTTTATGATTTGGGACGGACAAACCCAAACTATAATAGTTTGGGACTAGCTCTTAGGCCCGGGTGATGCTCCGGGGCTAGGTTCTTTGTATTTTAGATCTCAGATTCTGTATTTAATTTTTAAATAAATTTAATATATGGGGGTGAGTCAGTAGAAAAGAGACAAATTTTTTTTAAGTAAAATTTTCTTGGCTTTAAGCTTAAATATCTTAACAACTATTTTATTAAATTTAATAAATTTTTTTTTATTTTAATTCTATATAATTTCA